AGTAACCTGACTGACAAAACAGAACTGGCAGATTTTCAGTGTTTAATATAGCTAGTATTTACACATTTTTACTTAATACATAAGTATATCTTTTAATATAATTTATATACTTTTTTATATAAGCTAATAATAGAGAAAATGAACAAATATACTTTACAGTACTCTAGAATCTTTAAAAAAGTATGTTAATACTCTTAAAGGTTCTTCAACTTGATTTGTATTAATAATTATATAGATTTTCCTGACTGTATTACTATTAAAACTATTTATATACATAGAGAAGAATATAGTAAGACACTAAACTAATATTAGGAACAATGTGTATAAAACAAACACACTATATTCTACTATGAAAGAGACTACACAAGCAGATTTACCTCTTCCTACTAGTACTTCCTAGACATTTTTTTACATTCTTAACTATATGTAAGAGATTATAATAAATATAATACAACAGTCTATTCAGGACAATATAAATATATTCCACATTAGCTGTAACAGGTATATTCATTTTACAGTGTTCAGGTCTGTTCCTGAATGTTCATTTTGTTATTAATAACCTTTAAGTAACATAGATTTATAACACATTACTAAATATAATACAAAAATCAACTAGTATTCAGACAAAGAGTATTCTAGTCAATTTTGTCTACAAAAAGCCTTCTATTGTTTTGCTTACTATATATACTTTGTTTATCCTAGAGTAGTATACTAGTAATAACATATAATACATTATTTGACTTATAAAAAATGACAAGTAAAAAGTAACATCTTATTATTTAAGGAAAGTAGTATATTCTTTTATACATCTTATAATATGTATTTATCTTACACTTGTATTACAATAATACATAATTCATATTACTTTCCATAATATTAATCCAACTTATTTAACCTTATTTTATCATTTACTGTAATATTAGTTAAGGGAAAGTAGTATATAATATCTTACATATTATTAATATTTTATAAATTATATACTCATATAAGATTAAAAATTACTGTCAATTTTTTCCTGATATGGTTCCTACACTAATCAAATCCAGTCTTCAAGCAGGAGTTCTCCTAAAGCTTGATTCAGTAAATTTATTGTTTTACACAGGTTTTGTCTTTGTAAATGATTTTTTCCCTAGAAAATATACTAGATCTCAGTCAATATTGTGAGACAAGCTCTTAGTAAGATACACAACTCTCTGGTCCGGATCTTGCATCTTACACACTCTAATCCAACATCCTGGATGTTGTTACTCAAGACAGTAGGTCACAAACTTGGGTTACAATTCATAACTTATAGAGATTATGTATAAGCTATTAGTACAAATGACTTAACCTCTGGTCTAACAAACAGTGTTCTTACAGACAACCCTGTGCTTTGAATAATCAAATTCTTCTGTTCAGCACTTGAAGTTGATCAGGTGAATTCTTCAAAATTGCTCTGCCTGAAATGTCTTTTACTTAATAAAGTGTTGAAGGTCTCTCTTACTGTACTAATTACAGAGTTTGCCTTTATCTAAAGATGATATGAAGAATTGGCTTGTGTCATGGAAGAGGACAGAATTCATCACATATTAGCAAGCCACTATATTATTAGACATATGTAGAAATGATTTATGTATAGTAATCAGGTATTATATGTTTGTAGATTAGCTTATAAGAAAATTGTATACTGTAGTTAATCTAAAAATTCTGATTGAATCCATACAGTTTGCAAGTATAGTATAGTGAAGACACATCTCTACTGTGCCTGATCCCTGCAAACTTTTTGCCCAAATATCCTTTTGAGAAACTAATTCACTGTGAGAATGTTATACACTATTCAAATACAATACTAATGAAAAGTCATTATAATAACTAGTATGTCTGTTTACTTCATATTGTAAAGTCATGAGAAATATTCATTCATAATGTTGAGCACCACAGATTCTGTCAAGGTTTACAGATTTCCAGCCCTTGCTCGAATTAAGACTGTTTTATATGCACCATGTATTGAGTTTAGAGAATATATTGAGAGTTGAAAGATCATGACAAATACTAGTGCTAGAAATTAAGAAGTTTCACAATTGAGATATCTAGCAACACAAATCAATTCCTTTACAAAACTGAGCAGTTTAATCCTTGTGTAACTGCTTTGCTAACCAGGTGCCTATGTACTAAAAGTATGTAAGCTAACAGTTTGAACATAGATAGATATGTAGTATGTGCCTTACCTAGGGTTGTACTTAGGATTTGGTATAGCAATGATGCTTGGCCAAAACATTTTGCTTCCTGAGAGCCTCCTGATTTGAGAGAACTGCCAGCCACAAGACTCTAAGAGGTTAATGAAACCTTGTATGGTACGCTCTCCAGCATTCAAATTGGTTGAGACCTTCCCATAGCCAAATAAGTCTTGAAACATTTGTCAACAGAGATAAATACTTACAATAATATCAATTGCATAAGAGAGCGTGTTTGCTCCACCAAAGTTTGGCAGAAGAGGAGCTGGGGCAGATTTCACAACAGCACCAGTCTCCTTTACTGGTGTCTCCTGCACTTTACATGCATAATCCATGACACTTTCAACAATGACAAGCGATGTCTTTCCCACAATCGCGACTTTGCGGAGGTTTTTAAGGATCTGAATACAATATTTGTCGGACCAGTCATGCAATACCCAGCGGAGGAGAAAAACGTCTGGAGGTCCTGGTAGACCGGGTTGTTCCTTTAAGAAGTCAGTATCTGGTTATTCACATTCAGTAATTGGATATATTGTCAAATAAATCATGGAAACGGACCAATGAAATGGACTTTTCCAGCAGAAACGTGAGTTGGCATCTTCTCGTTCCAGTGCTATGTGAGTAAATAGTGTTAGATAGCGTTTACTGAGGCAGGAATAGAAAAAACTGTACATTCTTTGCTTTGTCGATTACTGACTTGAAATCCTCGAGAACAACCTGCATATTTGGAAATTTCTTTACAACCTCTAAGGGAACATGACCTATTCCACTTCCAACGTCAACCAATAGTCCATCTTGAACCTGTTCCCAATCGAAACCTGTCCAAATGTGGTTCCATTTAAATCAGATCCTGTACCACGATAAGCCAGAGACTATACCTCCAAGGATTGCCTCGGGGTGCATATTATTTGCGCTAGACATAACTAAGTTGAACCTATCGCGTCGGTAGTGGTTTTCCGGAAGCTCATAGAACTCCCATAACGGTAGTTCTGTTTTGAATGCCCTCTGGAAACCACTATCATTTACTTCCTCAGAGAAAGCCGTCTTTGGATCCAGCATGACTTCTCTAAAACCTTGTGCAGCTGTCATGACTTCATCCGCTCTGTTGCTCATCTCAGTGCCTGCTGATTCATGGCAAATAACCCATGTTACTTACCCGTATCCGGCAATAGCAGCAAAGCCATTTGTGTTGACATACTTATTGGCTGTACTGTAAATGCCGTACTAAGTAACAGGTTAGATAAAATCCCAAGAGTACATACAAGTTATCCGTTACATCCTTGCCAGTATCAAGTAGCGAAGACAGTAGATTGTGAGCGAACGTTCTCTCTTTTACCTCACGGAAATAGTGGTTTGTTGCAAGGAACCTTAGAACACGTTCTACAAATACGTTGCGTAAGAACTAATGTGTCTGCATGTGAGAAAAGAGCTCACCAAGTTTCTTGGGATCGACACCACTCTTTTTTGCAATATCATTAACATGCATACCCTGAGAACAGAGTTATGAGTAATCATATTGATTAAAGTAATTTTACCTGCCTTGGGTCCCGCGTTCCTTATAATTTCAGCAACATGTGTTCCCTCTGCAATGCCGAGACAAACAGGAAGAGTGAACTGGATGCTGACATAAGTAAACAATTCTATATGTAACAGATGGTTGGAATCATACTTTGAAGGCAGAGTTCCATAGGTGGACAGCAGGAGATTGTAGAGTAGCTACGAGCTGTGTTGCAGCTGCTACTGCCAGAGCTATGTTATCTGCCACCTCTGGGTGGTTGCGAATGCCATCCGGTGAAAATTCAGAGGGATGAGCAGGCTCATTTAGTGACGGGAAATCGACTCCAGTCTTTACGCAGATGCCGAGTATGTTATTGACTGAGGAGGAGAGAATGTCTAGGAGACCTTCAAGTTCTGTAGCCATGCTATGTACAGTAGGTGGATGTTGATACTGAATGTCACTTCCTACTTGCCTCCTATATACAAATCCCTCCACGCATATAACGAGAGGGATCAGTAATAGGTATGATTGCATCTTCTCACCCTTCTCTCGAACCTGTGGATAGGATTCTAGTTATTTTGCCGAGAATCAGGAAGCGGACGTCATATCACAACAAAAATGGATACACAACAATTCAAACACTGATCAAGGGGTTCTCTACTGATGTGTCCAAAAGGGAGCCACTAGTATACAAAAATAAACTGGAATATAACCATATGGGGATTCATAATAGTTTCAAATACACCTCTTAACCTATCCAAACGGAGGTATCATTTCATATAACAATTGCAGATGGAGTATGTGTCTAGGCTGGATCTCCAAATATACTTCCTATCAAAACGGAGGGTAGCATAACATGTTACGTGCCTTGTGTATCTAAAATATACCCCTAAGCTAAATCTTCTTCTCAAAGTAGAAGTGGAATAAATAGAACGATGTTTCAATACAGATCAATTTTTATGTATCTATGGTAGGATAATGGCCAGAAATGAATGTGTCTCCAAAATACAGAATGTGTAGCAATAGAGTTCTTGAAAAAGACATCACATATTTATATTCTTATAACTTGAAAAGGTCAAAATTCAGTCTTAACAATAAACTGCTTCCACTGATAGGTGCCTATGATACAATTACTGCCTAAATATTATAGCCCCTAATTCAGGTGGTGTCAGACCTTATTCCAAATGATACTGCAAAATCACATCATGAAAATTTGTTCCAATCTTTTAGGGGTGTAGCACAAAGATAGGTATTATACTCTAGTCTCTATCACAAATATAGTTACTGATCAGAAAAACATTCTGTCTGATTGTACAATTGCAGAAATACACTGTTGTGAGGAATAGCACTTTAGCTTAGCACATAGTTTTTCACCAGATGTATGCAGCTCCATCTTCATACTTGCTTTTCTTGCTTATGTGCAAAATACCAGTGTACTAGTATGAGTATCCTTCACACTGTCAAGTCACACAGGTACTGTAATGATCGGGGAGGTCTGTGGCTCAAGGTCCCTACTCAGCTGTTACCCTATAGACTGTTGTTGTCATGACTCGGATCTTGCAAAAGCCTGATAGGCATCAAAATCAGAGCAATAAATGAAATGGTGCTAGCCTCACTTGGGCAGATTGTCCCATGCAGGTCAATTCAATAACATATGGCTCTGTATATTTGAATAACTAACAGAATCAATATTCATCATTTGTATCACATATATCATTTGATCCATCTCTTACATAGGTTGACAACTGATCCTAACTCTAAGCGGTACACTCAATTATAGAAAGTCGTTATATAGAGCTAGTCTGGGTGAAGATTTCGACTTTGAACACCTTTCACTGAAAGTCCTCAATATTTGCAACATGGTGTCCAGTAATGAAGAAGAAATATTACAGCAGTTTACAGTGATGGGACAAGAAATGTTAGTGTCTGTCAAGCAGTTTAACAGTTGTACTAACACGAAGGCTTTGCAGACGTGGAACTAAAGTATGTATGCCACCTTCTGGTACTGTCAGGCTGTTCATTAAATCGTCTATGAAGAGTGCCTTCATCTCTATCTTTGCTGTATATCTGTATGATTATCTGTTGACCTTTCCTGATGAGGTATTCTTCTGTATTTCCTCATACTATTACATGGGTCTGAACAATAGTAACTCTGGAGGTTGAGTACATATGGCGCCAGAAATTTACGTTTGGTATATGCAGAATCTTTCTTTTGCTACTGTTGTATTGACCAATTCCCTTAGTCACGTTTCTGTTTTATATGGTGAGTATAGTCTGATATACACTAGAATACTTTTGACCAATTTCCTTGAAGAATCGCTACTATTCACTTGTGGTATTTATGGTCACCCTGAGTGGTAATTAATACAAGGTTTGACCCGATATATTATGGAACTTAAGCAATTAATAGGTTTCTTCTCACCATTATACACACCAAATGTGAGTTAGTGTTTATTCACACACTATGTTAGTTTCTGACTCTGAGTCTTCTTTAGATGTATGAATGTCCAAATTGTATAGCTATCCCAAGGACTCACAGTATGACTTAGCTGCAAACACTGGTCTTCATTTCTGCCATTAGCAGTAGGGCTCCCAATGTTGATTCTGCCTGGCATTGTTATGGGTTTAAGGTAGTATTTTCCAATTCCCTAAAATATAACTTGAAGTAATATCAATATCTGCTTCTCTTTAGGGTTTCTGCATTGTACTCCAGAAGCAGGATTGTTACAGCCTCAGTATTCCTCTTCCTAGCAGCAGAAACTGCAACTGCTTTATGGATCTATACAAGGCCTGGAAATGGGCGTAAGTCAATGTTTATTTACAGAGTATGACATTGTGAGTACTGACAAGTCCACAACTTGAAGCTCTCCAGATTCCTCAAATTGTTCACAGAGATGCATTTCAAAGTATGATGTATAATTACACTGTTCTCAAAATCTCTTTACTAACATTCTCTATCATTAGTTTGTATACAGGAGGTGGCTCTGTAGGTTACTTTCTACAATTGTTCAGCAATCCACTAGCAGTAATGAAGTTATCTCTTGATTTTAGCAAAAACCTCCAAGCAGCGGCTTTTCAATTCATGGAAACAGCATATGACACCATCATATTTGCTATGATACTCTACAAGACAATCCAATCAATGCGTAATAAACGGAGATCTATACTCGCAGTAATAGGGGCGCATGGAGTAATCTACTTTGCGTGCGCTTTTGTTTAAAAAAACTCGAAAGTAGTGCCTTACTCACATATTTTGTAGTGTTGTATTTTCATGTAACTTTACATGGGCTATGTTCATCATATTTCAGCCTGTGAGTAACATTGTTCTCGAATCTTATAAAATGTATTTGACTAGAATATAGGATGGGCTAAAATACTCTGCAGCTTTGTGAGTCTCTTTTAAACATCTGGTTACAAACCTTCATCCGTTGACTTTATCTATACAATTATAGGCCAACAATCATGTATGCAGACATTTGTTTACTTTGCTTAATGGCTTCTCTAATATTTTATCACTGGAAAGGCTCGGTTGTGTGGTTACAAACCGAATCACTCTTGAACTACGAAGTTGCAGGGAGACAAAGGGCTGGTTTGAGTCTGTCAGATATGAACCAAATGATAGCTCTAGTGTCCTTTTAGGAAATACGAGAGCATATGATAGACAGGCACCAGAGTCCATGAGCACAATCATGACTGACTTCAGCAATGGTCTGCCAGCTATAGAAACAATCGAAATGTCCAGGCTTAATATGTGCAAAGATAGTGTTTCCTCTTAGGAAAGGTTTTTTTGTACAGGTTGTTTAATGTGAAGCTCTACATACTAGTAGCATGTCAATATAATGATTATTGTAACGATTGCACTACCTGCACACTTGCACTACATGTGTTGTAGGTGCATGTGGGTGATTTCTTTTTGTTTACTAGACTACCCTGTATCCTACTACACGTGTATATGCATATATAAAGGGTTTTCGAGCTAAGGATTAGGGGATTCTTTCTCCTTCTCGGTGCTCGATTACTAGGTTATCCCAGTCAGTAATTGAGTGCGCTGGCAAAGAGAGAATCTTCGTTGTAAAGTTAGTATACCTATCTTTACAATTATGTAGCATTGTAACACACTACTCCAATTTCCTGACATAGTGTCATTAATCTAGTTAGTCTTTCAATATAGGCAGACAGTGCTATACAATGGGAGGGGAAATACACGGACCGTAGTCGGGAGCAAGTAGCTTGCAATGAAAGCGGAACAACCGTACTGCATCCTGACAATGGAGGCGTGTATTGGTCTTCTGCATGATAGACGACCGGGCACACTGAGTTGATTTGCTGATCCTTGAGCTTCAACATGTACTCGGCAGTACTGTGCCAGAATCCTAGGCTACATTCTCGCAAGTAAGTCTCTGATACATCTTGTTTCCTACAGGAATACCTTTACCAACGAGTGCTGCACACTTGAAGTACTCGTGTTGCACAGTTAGAAGTGATTTCCTTCAAAATGTTTATTTGCTTACCTGAGTTGTCCATGACACCATTTCGAATAACGGAAGCAGCAGCCACCGCTCACACCTGTCCAAGTTGAGTCCGTCCACGCCTTCCACTTTGCCATCTCCCTTCGTTCCAGAACTTCCCAGAGATACACCTTGCAATCAATGACTCAGCTTACTGCACCTCCCATTGGACGCCGTAGATAGACAATAGAGCGCACGCGCACAGACACGATTTCGTCTGCAGTCCGAACCCGCTCGTTCAACGCTCTGGATCTCGATCTGCATGCACCACTCACACTCACTGCATGCCGTCACAGTGCGTCCATCTTTTTCTTGCTTGTTGCCACTCGCTAATCACTCTAAACCTGTCTCACAGGCGCAGCTCTCCCTTTAGGCCAGAACGCCCGGGAATACACCCCTCAGTCAACGGTTCAGTTCACTGCACCTCTGATTGTGAGACCGTGAGACGTAGTCAGAGTATGCAGTGTGCACGTACAGATGCAGCTTCGCCTGCAGCTCAAATTAGCTCATTCAATGCTCTGGATCTCAACCCTAGTACACTACTCACACTTGCTACACACTATTGTGGTGCATCCATCTCCTCAATCCAGTTACCTACTCATGCTGACAATGCTCACGCCCACACTCTTAGCCGATCAATGTCACAACCTGTCTCACCCCTAATTGTTGTAGATTATAATGTATTTATATAATGTTTCAATATAATTATAAACTGTTATTTCAATAACAAACAGATATAAGGGAAAATAACTATTATTAAGATATTAAAATGATTTAAGAGCTTTATAAACAATTATAATATTTGCCATAATTAACAAGAGTGATTTAACCTTGTAATTTTAGAGATCCATTGTAATGCATTTTATATATTGCCAAGGAGAATAACTCTTATTTATGTTCACAAATTACACAAACCTTCCAGACTTTATAATGAATTGTAGTACTTTCTGAGAAACCAAGATCCGTTCCAAGTGTTTTTACTTTTTTATTTTTTTCACTTATTTTATACCATTATAAGGTAATACAAGAATTTAGACTTTTTCCCAATGCACTCATTATCATCTGAGACCAGGCAAGACTTTAGACGCCCGAGTCCACATTGACTCCACAACTGTTGCATGATAATTCGCCGAAATTTTCTGGTATTCTCTGCACTGGGGATTGAAAATGCACGCAGTGTGGGCCCATCGAGTGTGTTATCAAGCATGGAATGGTGGATAGGAAAGATGAGTGCGTGCAGGGTCGGAGAGAGGATTGCCCCTTGGGAGTGGTCGTACATGGACATTGTCGCGAGCGTGTGCTTGTCGATTGCTGCTTGCGCTGCAGGGTGGGAAGAAGTACGTGAATGCATGGAATTATTGAAGAAGTCGTTCAGCGTTGGTCAACAATGCGGATGCGTGAATGCGAATGCAAAAAGGAAGGAGAGCGTAAAACAAGGAGGGCAACAAAGGATAGTGCTCC